TTATCCTAATCAATCTCATTAGTCGTGTTCACTGAATGTAAACCGTAAAATCAAAGATAGGGATTTTGAATCACCCGGGACAGGTCACTCTTGAGCACTGTGAATTATAAATTACAGCCTCCTGCCCACATCGTATTCTACTCCCTCAACTTTGTTGCATTATACGGCTTCTAAGTACCATTTCCAATGACAGGTGTCAAATTCCTGTCATAATGCATATGGTCACTACTTTAGTGCTAAGTGACCTCATAATCTACATATTTAAAAGAAAAGATCTTGTTTATAGACACTCTTTTCCTTTTAAAATGTAGATGATGTTAGGCAGTGATCTATATCTGCCTACAATATGGCATCTGCCATGCCTATTTGCCTATATAGGTTATTTTAGTTGTAGTTGAATAATAATTATTAACTATTTAAATACATGTTTTTCAGGATTTCATTTTAGAATGAACATGCATAGCTCCCTTTCCACATGGATTAAAAACTGATTTAAAAATTATGATAGGTATTTAAACCCATATTTCATAAAAATGATTAAGCTAAATGAATTTGAAGGAACATAAAAATAAATGATCTGCTATTCTTATAAAATGCAAAACATAATATTTTCATTATAAAGCTGATCTTTAACAATTACCTATGTATACCAAATAACTGGCAAAAACACCTAACATCAGTAACATCCAACTAGGGAATGTTCCTCTGAAACAAAGATATTTCTCTTATTAAAAACTAATACAATAGCTACTAAAGGACTATTAGCATGACCAAAATATTACAATTCTAAAGATTTAAGCCAGTCCCTATTACATGATAAGCTTTAATATATTTAAAACTGAAAGACTGCAACAGAGCAGGAAGACTGAAAAATGGGACTGCCATGTCACATCAATTTATTGATGAATATTCATTGCAATATGCTAAGTGGTTAACTCCATGCTTTCTCTGACAGGGAATCTAAGGTTATAAACTGAGCAGTAAAGAATGCATAAAAGTAGCAGTTACTTTTAAAATGACAAATCTCTTGTCAATGAATGCTAAGACTAGGTTTAATGAACCACTGAATTTTTACTTTGCGTTAACATCAAAATTGTGATGTATTTTGGTGAGATGGAAAGAAAAGCTGTTCTGTAAATTAAGCTGCACCTAGAAATAACACCAAAGAATGAAATTCCAGTTGTCGGAATAATCTGTTACAATGGAATAGGTTAATCAAAGTTAAATCATCTGTGAAATGGGTGGCTTTTGTTAAAATGGAGTCTTCAGAGCAAGTTTTATCATCTGTATGTCATATTACATTTAAGAGACATCTAAATAAGACTAAGCCAAAAAGTATACTTAAAATATTACAACTCATTTAAATAGGTAATATTTAAATAGGTCCTAAAAAGTCCTCACTAAACACTGATACTCTTTTATCTATCACTTAGAAAGATTAATTTGCTATAGGAAGTGAAAAACAAATCCCATCATTAATATATTAATGTTGTTTAGGAAATAAATTTGTTGTTTTCATTATGCTGGTGTCCCCTATTTTAAGACAGTTTAATATCCAATGACGAATACCTAATTTAAAAAGCAGTCTGATTATTCATGGTACGAAGAAAGTTGCCACTGAGTTCTAAAAATCAGGAAATTATTTGCATATAAAATATACATTAATGAACATCTTATAATTTTATGAACATCTTTCAGAAAGTGAGAATAGTAGAAGAAAATGCTACAATCATTAATTTACAAATACAGATATGAATAATTTTCCTTTAATATTTTCAAAATAATCCTTCCTTTTCTAGATCAACATCATTTTGAATCAGTTCACTTCAACCCATTTATCCATAATTTCATTTTCTTATACCTTATTCTTTAAGATCATTATTAAGAGAATGTATATTGCGACAAAGCTTCATGAATGTATCAAGGGAATCCATTCCTTTTACTTTTTTAAACATATAGAGTAAGATGCAAAGTCACTGGTCTTTTTTTTTTTTAATCCTCAACCAAGGGTATGTTATTACTGATTTAGAGAGAGAGGGGGAGAGGGGAAGAGAGGAAGAGAGACAGAGAGACAGAAAGACATCTATGTGAGAAACATCAATTGGTTGCCTTCCATACATGCCCTGACCTGGGATTAAACCTGTAACCTGACTGGAAATTGAACCTGCAACCTTTTGGTATACAGATGACACTCCAACCAACTAAGCCACCAAGCCAGGGCTCTACTTGTCTTTTTAATATAAAATTCAGATTTTATTTAGAGACTATTGGCATCATTTACATAGATTCTGTGAGCTGGGCTCTCATAAATATTACATTTTTCTGACACCATAATTTCAGATATGCTGATTAAAGTCTTTCAATCAATATTAAAAACAAATTCTTCAATTTTTAATTATGTTTATGTCCTTACTGATTCTGAGGATTAAAAATAATTTATTAAATGTGTTATTTATTCCAGAATTTTTTAAAAATCCATTTTTGAAAAAGGTAATATTAACTAGAGGCCCACAAATTTAGTCTACTTGGGAAGTGTGGATTCCAGATGTTAAGATCATGCAATAAAAAATTAAAAGCTCTTTACATATAATACTTTTCCAAACATTATAAATGCTAATCAACATGTACCGGAATAAAAATATCTGGAGACCAAACCAATGCCAAAAATAATTGCACAATCCACACAGATAAAAAAGTAGAATGGTATAAGAAAAGCAAAACAAAACACTTCACTGAAAATCAAAGCGCAGCTTCTGGTTGTAGCCTGGATATTCTCTCACATTGAGACCACAAGCTCATCAATTAACTTCCCTAGGCCTCAGTTTCCTCAGGTGTAAACAAGATGATTAGATTAGATAAGCTTTAGGATACCTTCCTCTTTAAAAATCTGTTTCTAAAAACAGCGACAAAAAAAAAAAAATCCATGTTGAGAGGTGAAGAAGAAAAATAATGCCATTTTCAAAAAGAGTTATAAACTTTAAAAAGGTAAAGGCAGAAAGTAACTTTTCCAGGAGTGTATCTGTGGGCACCACGCTCCTGCCATGAGAAGCTTTTTACCTGCCGCGAATAAAATTGACTAAGGTCGCATGTTCCTAGTCAATTTCATTCACAGTAGGTGCTGTAAGACAGCAAAGAACATCAGTTCAGAAACTGTATCACCAACTTACAGAGTCAACTTGAAAGCAAGAAGATGGCTAGTAAGGGAGAAAAGAAAACAAGGCAAAATAAAAACTATTGCTTTTTAAAAGAAGAGATTCAGCCATTTAAAAAAAAAATGGGAGAAAGGTAAGAGTTAAATCTAAGACCAATTTATTTTTTATTTTTATTTATTTATTTATTTTACAGAGAAGAAGGGAGAAGGATAGAGAGTTAGAAACATCGATGAGAGAGATCGACCAGCTGCCTCCTGCACACCCCCCAGTGGGGATGTGCCCGCAACCAAGGTACATGCCCTTGACCGGAACCGAACCTGGGACCCTTGAGTCCGCAGGCTGATGCTCTATCCACTGAGCCAAACCGGTTCGGCCTAAGACCAATTTTTATCTTCAATTTGGTTAACTCAAATTACTTCTGCACTGATTACACTGCCTACCCAAGTTTAATTTACTATCTGTTACACTCAAATTGTGATTCCTGCAATTCTGTCTCATGGTGAGTTTTGGAATTTGTTACATAATTCTTCAATGGGAACCAGCCAGGCTAAGTTTGAGAACTACTGTATTAAAGCAATGGATAAGCACAAGTACAGTTAAGCATAAAATATTTTCATTATAAAACCTTAATTTCAGGGTTTTTTCTTTCCCCTCTTTCTAGAAACTTCCACAAACTGGGAAAAGAAACTTAATGTAATAAACTTTGACATGAAAATAATTGTAACAATATAGAAAGAAAATGATCTCATTTTTATAAACAGTGCCAAAGGCTAAGGATGGCCCCATGGTATTGGGAAATATTTCTCACTCTCCTTCATTTACGTATCTTAACCTGAAACTAAAAAACAAAACAACAAAAAAAGGATAATCTAGTGCCTTTAATTATAGCATACACTCTTAAACTTGCAGAATCAATGAGTACTTATTAGGTTGCAAATGAATAAATATGGACCTTTGTAAAATTTGTATCTAAGTCTAGTTCTCACAGTGAAAATTTACAGGTATGTCTGCATCAGTTATGATTTTAAAACTGGGCTCAGTTCACCCATCTTGCCACTTTCACCTTCTTTCAGTGAAGATAAGAAATATTATATTTAACTCAATGAAAGATCAAAGCTCTTTATTTATTATTCTTAGACTAGAGGACCGATGCATGAAAATTCACGCACTCGGGAGTCCCTCAGCCCGGCCTGCACCCTCTCGCAGTCTGAGCGCCCCTGGGGGATGTCCGACTGCCACAGGGGCGAGAGAAGCTCCCACCACTGCCACTGCGCTTGCCAGCCGTGAGTCTGGCTCAGGGCTTCTTGCGGAATGGTGCTCCCCCGTGGGACACTCCTGCGTTGAGTGTCTGCCCCCTGGTGGTCAGTGTGCGTCATAGTGACGGGTCGTTCTGCTGTTCGGTTGATTTGCATATTAGCCTTTTATTATATGGGATAATCACTATAAAATAATATTATCCTGATGCATACACCAATAAATAAGCTAACTAAACCATGCCATCTTTTAATGAAGTATTTTTCAAACTATGGGTCTAAACCAGTAAATTTAGTACATAATGTTCAACATTTTAAAAAATGAATTAGAACCCTAACTGTATTGGCTCAGAGGAGAGAGTATCGGCCTGCAGACCAAAGAGTTACGGGTTCGAACAGCGTCAAGGGCATGTACCTCGGTTGCAAGCTCCTCCCTGGCTCAGGCCCTAGGTGGGGCTGGCGTAGGAGACAACCAATCAATGTGTTTCTCTCACATCGATATTTCTCTCTGTCTTTCCCTCTCTCTTCCACTCTCTCTAACAATCAATGGAAAAATATCCTCAGGTGAGGATTAAAATAAATAAATAAAATAAAAAAATGAAATAGAGAAGGGAAGGTGCTATTTCATAAAACTTGTTTCAGTTAATCATATGTATTTATGTGTATACTGGATTGTAATATTAATTGAATTTCTTACCATAGATTAACTATCATAAAGGCATGAACATGCTGCTACAATGGCAGCATAAAAGAGAAAACACACCTTGGAAATCAGTCAGACTTGACTTAGAATCTGAGCTACTGGCTATGTGACCTTTGATAAATTATCTCTTTCAGCTTAAGTTTCTTCATGAACAAATAGAACCAATACTTAACTCTAAGGGTTTTGGTAAGAAAATTAGAGGTAATGTAAAGTGCCTCACACTATACCTGATATGTAGTAGGCACTCTTTGCTGTTGAAACTTTCAATAATCAGCCCTAGCTGGTTTGGCTCAGTGGACTGAACGTCAGCCTGCAGACTGAAGGGTCTCGGGTTCGATTCCAGTCAAGGGCACATGCCGGGGTTGCGAGCTCAATCCCCAGTGGGAGGCATGCAGGAGGCAGCCAATCAATGATTCTCTCTCATCACTGATGTTTCTATCTCTCTCTCCTCCCTTCTTCTCTGAAATCAATAAAAATGTTTTTTTAAAAAACAAAAAAATTTTCAACAATCAATTTAAACATGAAGTCTGAAGAACTTACACGAACAGCTAAAATAATAGTTGAAAGATGCTAATTAACCATATATACAGCTTATACTTTATTAACTTTTAAAAGAAAAAGTTTTAAAACTCTAAAAAACAAATACATAATGCATTAGTTTTATGATGTTTCCCTCTAAGAAAATATGCCAAAAAATAAAAACAAAAAAGCATGGGGGAAAAATCCACTTATTAAAAAATAAGGGGGGAGGGGGAATTAATGACAACCATATTAAGGATAGATATTCACCTTCTTTGGGTTGAGCCATAACTGGAGTCTGCGTTTCCTTTGTATATGTCACGATTTCTCGAGGAGGAAAGTCAACTTGTGTAATTTTAGCCATTCCAAGTTTAATAGGTCCTCGTCTAAATAAAGTGAACACAATATTTTAAAATACAATAAATGATACATTTAACTACATCAAGCCATGTTATTTTAGAAAAGTAGGAATTAAACATTGTGTATCCAACATTGTAATTTAAATCCCTGTTTTATTCAAGAAATTCTAGATGAACAATGAATTGGCTTTATCTTAACAAAAGAATTAGAAGGTAACAAAAACAAAAGATATTTCTGAATCATTCAAGGTATTTCTTTTTCCCTTTAAAAAGGCAAATAATTTAGTTTCTTAGAGTAGATGTGTGGGTAATAATAAAGTAAGAGGACAGGGATTTTCTGGTGGTCTGCTTAATATGGTTGACTAAAAGAACTTTTTTTTTTTTTTTTTGGCAAGGATATGATTCTGGAATATTTTGAAGAATCAGATAATATGGATCTCACGCAGACCACTTTCAGTTCCCTTCACCTGTAGAAGACTTCACTTTTAAGACTGAAAAGTAATTTTTGGTTGACAACCTTTTTTTCTACTTTGTAGAAATTGAGAATCATACAGTCCACTTAGATTTTAAAATGAAATATTTAAACTTAAATTGCTAATATCTGCATGGTACATGTTGTCCTTGAATCATATATGGACAAACTACAGCGCAGGTACTTTATACCTAAACTAAAGCAACAGATCTTTTGGATACCATACAACTACTGAAGTCACTTCTATGTTAAATAGAGGGAAAACATTCTCTTTTGACAAACAGAAGAAAGTTGTGGCTGAGGAAAATGGACCAAATGAGAAATATCTTTTATTAGGTATCTGGGGGATCTTTTTTTGGTTATTATATTAGATGTTTAAATTTTAAACCAAATAAAGTATGCATCCAAACTCGCCAAGAAGTTCTCAATTATGAAGCTGTTTTAAAAGGATATCTAATAAAGACATTGCTGTAACTTCCAGAATTTCAAGCAGACTAACTGAATTATATATATCATTAATTTTTCTAAGCTCTTAAATGTGGGCCATAAGAAATTTTTAATGTGTTTTCTACTTAAGGAATATCTTAGCCTTTAAGAAAGAAAAAGAGCATAGTCAAAGAATTAAATGAGAAATTTTAAATACATTTTAATAATCTAGTATCCTAAAAATAAAATTTGAAATAAGAAATATTATATTCTGATTTTCACGATGTGAACCATAAGAAAAATAAAACACTCACATATCTGGGGAAAATGGTCAAGCCAACAACTATTAGGACAAGTACTAACTTGAGTACATATACGACTTAGTAGATAAAAATCACAATATTAGAACAAACAAAATATTCTAAGACTTGAAGGTAGGAAGATAGGGAGGTAAAACCTCACTTTTCTAAAAACCACTTTTCCTGAGAATAAGGAAGCATATGGGGTGGGAGAGCCAACAGAGAGGCCTTCCAGCTAATATATATAGTTTTCTCATCTGCAATTCAAGGCTTATTTATTCTTACTTTAGATAGAATTCCAAAGGTATTGGTCATTTGCATGCTTTAGAAGATGCAAATTATCAAGGGAAAATAGCTATCTCAGTCAGGCACAGTGACAGCAACTAACATTTATATTCTGCATTGGAGACTAGAATAAATGAGTGAATAAATGAACTAATAAATAAATGAATAAACCAAAAGCAGTCTGGGGTCATAGTATAGAGACCAACAACTCTGTTCCTCAGAAAACATCACTGAATTTTAATATAGGAAAATAAATCAATATTTATAGCGAGTAACCCAGAAAAGGTTCAATCACATGTAGAATATGTATTAAAAGTCTGGGAACTTTGTAACACATCTTTTAAAAACTTACATAAAAAATACAGAAATAATAACAGGAATCTGGACACTTAAATGGGCAGACTTAGGGTACCTAGAAAATCAGATACATAGAATATTTCTTTCGTGAAATGACAGAGGATAAATGAGGTGTCACAGTAAAATATAACACTTTTCCTAACTATATACTGCATATTACAAATTTAAGCAAAATAAAATTAGGACAGTTTCACAAAGAATCAAATTAATTATAAAAAAGGGAAGGTAATAAATCTATTCAATACCCCAAATCGGAATCTGAGTGAAGCTGAAGAACTGATGGATCTGTATCCCAATGCAGCGTCCTAAATGGTTGTAGGACAACCATGAAGCATTAGCAGAAAAGGCCATAAGTTAGTCAAGCAAATATCCTCTATGAATAGCTATAAAGTACTGTTCACATTAAAAAACCACATGTTCTGTTAGTATGGAAAAAAACCACCAGGTATCACTCAATGCTCTAGTGCAGGGGTCCTCAAACTTTTTAAACAGGGGGCCAGTTCACTGTCCCTCAGACCGCTGGAGGGCCGGACTATAGTTTAAAAAAAAACTATGAACAAATTCCTATGCACACTGCACATATCTTATTTTGAAGTAAAAAAACAAAACGGGAGCAAATACAATATTTGTATTTGCATGTGGCCCGCGGGCCGTAGTTTGAGGACCCCTGTTCTAGTGCATGCAAAAAGCATAACAAAGTTAAGGATGCAAAAATACAACCTAGAATCGTTAAAAGACAGTATTTTCAGATTAAGGCAAACTATTATTGCACAATAATGGATAAGAACAGCCAAGCATTCAACAACACAAATAATATATTATTTTTGGATGTTAACAAGTGAGACTGTAAAAATAGTTTAAAATTTAAGTTTCCTAATTAAAAAATTAGTAAAAACATTTTAGTTAACCTATTATAATCTTGCCCAAAGCATTAAATGTGTGCAGGAAATTATCATATTGGTAAAGGAAATGAGTCAACACATAAGCCTTTCGGTAAGAAAGCCAAAGACTATTCCACTGGGATATAAAATAGCTAAAGTTTCCAAAATGTGACCCTTATGTAATTTATGGGTTAAGCACTGCCTTGGGCGTACATGTCATCTGCTTTAGAAAGCAGCTACAGATTTCTGTCGCTAGGAAAAAATAGACTTTTCCCAGAAAAAAATATTTTATGTTCAAAAGATTTTCATAAACTAAAATTTTGGAGAATATCCTATCCATCCTAAATAAATATTCAGTTGTGCTTTAAAGCCTTGCCTACTGGATCTTTTCCATTTAAGTGAGATCTAATCATTATTAAAACAAAAGGTACTTTGTCACATTGGCATTCTCACAGGTTAGCAATATATAAAATAATTATGTACAGTACTGTATGATGCTCTAGTCCATATTTAAAAGTTAAGCACAATAGGTTCAGTGCTACCATTTTTGTCAAAATATTAGCATCTCATGTAAATTACAATGTACAACTAAAACTGCTATATTTAAATATAAAAAAATGATTTCTGTACTTTTTTTGCCTATACAATTTATCAATAAAAACAACCAGTTGACTTGAACTAGAGGAATTCTTCATTTTGAAAATATAAAGACTTAAACAGTATTGTGTGTGTGCAAAGGAAGAGGAGGTCACAGTGAAGATTTACTTTGTACAAAGCAATGAGCAGCAACAAACGAAGGTTTTGTTAAACCAGCCGAGGTTCTATGAGATGCTCTCCAAGGAATGTTCTGTGAAAGCCTTTACATCATATGAAGCTATAACTGTTATCAGTGATATAAAACTCCTTTCTGAGGATGTCATGTTAGTCTGATATCAAGTAAAAGTTTGCTGTAAAATACAGCCTGTACAGAAAACATACTGAACAACATATGGGATTATTATTTATTAAAGGCATCTACAGATATATAAAGTAAAAGTACAATATAATCTGAAAGCCCGAGAGATAAACTGATCAAGAATGGAACAAAGGAATTAAGAGGCATGATTCCCCAATAGAATAACTGCCATCACCTAAATTTTAGAGATAATTCTGTGATTGAGAAAGTGAACTAGAAACCTAATGAAATATAACTTCCTAATCTGAAAAGTTAGAGAAATACCATTTTTCACAGCCTTTTATATTTATTCATGAATTACTATCAGGTCCAATAGAAATTTTTGACATTTAGAAATAGTGACTGTTTTTATATCATATTTGATAATGTCTAATATATCTCTTTCCTCTCTGTGAGTGTACTAATCTTAGGCTGTCTTGGCTATCTTGCACATCTTCATGCATTTTCCTGTAATATTTCTTCTTTCCTCTTTATTCTTTCATTATTATCATGCTGGCTCAATTTGAGTTACTTCTGTTTCATTATCAGACCCTGATCTTTTTCAAAGCCATTATATTTAGAAATGCTATTATTTTATTGCCAATAGTACCAATTAATCAACAATATCAATTATCTTTCCCCTATGTAATCTGGAGATGATTTAGTGGAAGTCATAATTTTCAACTCGTGTGTGTGTGTGTGTATACATATATATGCATATATACATATATATTAAATGAACATACTCAGCCCTTTTGAAAATTATTATTTAAAATGAGTTCAAAAGAGACAATGTATGTACTAAGATTAAAAAGGTATGTCACATCATTAAAAAAGAGAAAATTTGCCCTAGCTGGTTTGGCTCAGTGGATAGAGCTTCAGCCTGCGGACTGAAGGGTCCTAGGTTCGATTCTGATCTGGGCACATGCCCGGGTTGCAAGCTCGATCCACAGTAGGGGGCATGTAGGAGGCAGCCCATCAATGATTCTCTCTCATCATTGATTTTTCTATCTTTCCCTCTCTTTTTCTCTCTGAAATCAATCAAACAATAAATAAATAAAATTTTCCCTCCCCTGTTAAACTTAGAAAAACTAATTTTGTACTCATTCTTCAATAAGAACAAATACCCCCTAAAGATATTTAAATACCTATTTTCTTGTTTTACAACTTATTAAAAATCTACACTTTAAACACGAGTTAGCCTATCATTAGAACTTTTCAATACAGTGAATAACATCCTTAATTTTTAAAAATCAAAGCACAACTGACAACAGTATGTAAGTTTCAGGTATACAACATAGTTTGCAACATGGATATACCTTACAAAGTGATCACACGATAAGTCTAGTAACCGTCTGTCATTGTACAAAATTATTACCATACTACTAACACTATTCTCTAGCTGTGTACCACATTCCCGTCACTTATTGTATAACTAGAAGTTTGTACCTCTTATGCCCTTTCACCTTTTTGCCTTCTCCCCCCTTCCCTATGGCAACCATCAGTCTGTTCTCTGTATTATGAGTTTGTTTCTGTTTTGTTTGCTCAGTTGTTTTGTTTTTCAGATTCCACATGCAAATGAAATTATATTTGTCCTTCTCTCTCTGACTTATTTCACTTAGCATAATATCCTCTAAGCCCGTCCATGATGGCACAAATGGTAAGGTGTCATTCTTTTTCATGTATGTATACCATGCTTTCTTTACCCATTTATCGATGAACAATTAGGCTGCTTCCATATTTTGGCTATTGTGAATAATGCTGCAATTATAATAGGGATGCATGTTCAAATTAATGTTTTCATTTTCTTTGGATAGATACCCAGGAGTGAAGTTGCTGGATAACATGGTAGTTCTATTTTTAGTTTTTTGAGGGATCTACATACTGTTTTCCATAGTGGCTGCACCAATTTGCAATCCCACCAACAGTGCAAGGGCTCCCTTTTCTACACATCCTCACTAGTACTTATTATGTCTTGTCTTTTTGAGGTGACATCTCACTGGTTTTGATTTGCATTTCCATTATGATTAGTGATATTGAGCATCTTTTCATGTGTCAGTTGGCCATCTCATGTTTTCTTTGGAGAAATGTCTATTCAGGTCCTCTGCCCATTTTTTAGCTACATTGTTTTTTGATGTTGAGTTTATGAATTCTTTATATAATCTGAATATCAGACATATTATTTGTGAATATCCTCTCCCATAAATTAATGATGTAATCACTAGAAAGTAAGTTCCATGAAGGCAGGGGCCATGAACACTTTATTTATTTTTTTTTTTTCTTCAAATTTTATTTTTTATTACAAAGGGTATTACATATGTGTCCATTTTTTTCCCCGCCCTAGACAGTCCCCTAGCCTCCCCTATTCCCCAGTGTCTTATGTCCATTGGTTAGGCTTATATGCATGCATACAAGTCCTTTGGTTGATCTCTTACCCCCCTACCTCCCGCCCCCGAACCCTCCCCGGCCTTCCCGATGCAGTTTGACACTCTGTTTGAGGCTGTGGCAATCTATAGTATTTAACATTAAATTGGCAATTCAATGAGTGCCTGCTCTATAGGGTGGGGCAAAAGTAGGTCTCTAATAATCTCTACGTTTCCCAATGAAACTCACAAGGACATGTTTTAATTCATATTAATTTTAAAAACCAAGTAAATGTTACATATATTTTTTAAAACAAACTTGCTGATGCTGCATTAAAATAATCTTGCTAATCCTATTCAAAATTAAGAACACTGAGTTTGGAACAAACACAGTATATTATATACATAAAAATAATGTATAGTATCAAACAAAGAAATTGAATAAATATTTTTTATTTTGGGAAATATTTTTACTATGGTAATGTTGAAGAAAAAAAAAAGACTCCACTTAAAAATACCACTTGCTTATCAGCAAAGGAATCCTATATAATAAAAGCGTAATATGCAAATTGTCTGGTTGTCCGGTCATCCGTTCAACCAGTCAAAGTGTAATATGCTAATGATATGCTAAGGTCACTCAACCACTTGCTATGACATGCACTGACCACCAGGGGGAAGATGCTCTGACTGGTAGGCTAGCTTGCTGCTGGGGTCCCGCCAATTGGGACTGAGTGAGATGGGCTGGACATGCCCAGGAGCCCTCCCGCAGTCCCTCTCCGGCTGGCCAACCATGCACTGGTGGGGTCCCCTGGCCTGGGCTACAGC